AGGTGTCGCGGCTGCCCCAATGGGTTTGTGACCTGTTACATGAAGACAAAATAAAGCACAGGAGAGAAAGAAGGATCATTGCATAATAGGAACACTGAATATACTGGTATGAAGAGCAAGACAGTGCTGATCAATATATGATTTTTATGCAAATAAACTACAAACACAAACCCAAGTCTCTATTATGTGTTCACCCCTCTTCCTCCTGGTCCTTTTGTTGTCTCACATTTCTATTTATTATATCCTGCTATAATAATAGTAATGTCTATAGACTCATCTGTCTTGGCTCATCACTGATATTTTTTTCCCCACGTGACTAGTATTTACTCCAGTCATAACAGGAAAAACACAGTTTAGAATATTGTAAAATTCTACACTGAACTGACCTATGATTTATCTGTTTTTTCAGAACGCACAGGTTTCACCATCCGTCCTGTTGCTGGATATCTGTCACCCAGAGATTTCTTGGCAGGCTTGGCATTCAGAGTCTTCCACTGCACTCAATACGTTAGACACAGCTCAGACCCTCTGTACACCCCAGAGCCGTAAGTTTGTTTTATTTCTGTGGATAAAAGTTAAGTATTCCCACAAACCTGTCGTTTAGCACCCATATTTTAAAACCAAAAGTGTCTGTAGTTAGGGTTCTACCTACATAATTGAATACATAGGCAAGAAGGGTCCAGTGCTCAAATGTGCCAAGGACCTGTACCTCCCACTGATTTTAGTGACATTTGTGGGTGCCCAACACAAAAGAAAATCATGCTGCACATTTATAGGTTACAAGATTTGCAAAAGTGCATAGCATTGGCCTAGTGTTGTTCTTGATGATCAGTGGCAAAGGTCCCACTGACATTAATGGGAGCAGAGTTAGACTGACTTTGGGAAAATCTCTTTCTACAAGTGGATTTAAGAACTTACATCTTTGGATGAAAATGGATGTTAGTTGAGTTAATGATACAGTCAGTCATTAAGAATGGAATGCAATATATTTGCCTGTCTTTCAGATCTTAAATCATTTTGATGTTCTTAATGTTTCCATATAGCACAATTTTTTTGGTTGGATGGTGCTGCTTTTTCACTCTTGGGAAGAGAGGGAAAGGTCATCATGGCACAACTTCCACTTTGTTTCTTTAACAGCGATACCTGTCATGAGCTTCTAGGTCATGTCCCGCTTTTGGCTGAACCCAGTTTTGCTCAGTTCTCCCAGGAAATTGGTCTGGCATCACTTGGGGCATCAGATGAAGCTGTTCAGAAACTGGCAACAGTGAGTGTCCCAATCTCTGGCAACATGAATCCTGTTTGCGTTTGTACCCAGCATTCTACAATTGCCCATTCTGCATTTCCTTTCCCATGAAAGTACTTGCTGGCTTTGTCATTGGAACCAAGTTTATCCCTGTATTAGTTAATTATTTCACTTGTTCTGTCTTTTCTGTACCATATCTATGCTAGAACAGAAGCAAAAGTTTTTTTTTTTTGAGAATATTATGGTTAACCAGGGAGAAATATAGTAAGTGCAGTAGTGTAATAAGGGATGGGTGATCAGGGCACCAGCCTTAGGTGATACCTTAGAGATGGAAGAATGGCAGCTGCTGTCACAGCCAACCTAGCCACCACAGCTTCCACAGCCAGCCTACCCGAGGCCCCAACTTTCCGCCCCTGCTGCCACCTAAGGCACAGGCCCTGGTGGTTGAGCCTTTGAGTAAGTGGGTTTGAATGCATTGAACCTTGAGGTTCGTGCCCTTCAGGTCAAAACCCCGTATTCTGTTTCTTTTATGTCAAGGCTTTTTTCATAGATTTCATAGATGTTAGGGCTGGAAGGGACCTCGCTAGATCATTGGGTCCAGCCTTCTGCCCAAGGGGCAGGAAGTTGGCTGCAGTCAAATGGTCCTAGCACAATAGGCATCCAAGTGCTTCTTGAAAGTGTCCAGAGTAGGTGTTTGCATCACTTCTGGAGGGGAGTCTATTCCAGGCTCTGGGGACATTGACAGTAAAGAAGTCTTTTCTTATGTCCAGCATAAAACGGTCTTCCCAGAGTTTGTGACCATTAGATCTTGTCTTCCCTTGGGGTGCCCTGGTGAACAGATGTTCTCCCAGATCCTGATGCACACCCTTTATATATTTATAGGCTGCCACCAAATTTCTCCTGAGCCTTTGCTTCTCCAGGCTGAAGAGTCCCATGTCCCTCAGCCTCTCTTTAAGGCCTGTTCTCTTGTCCTCTAATCATGCATGTGGCTCTCCTCTGGACTCTCTCAAGCTTCTCCTCATCCTTTCTAAGTGCAGAGCCTAGAACTGGATGCAGTACTTCAGTTGCGGCCTCACCAGGGCTGAGTAAAGTGGGAGGATGACTTCCTAGGTCTTGGTTGAGATGCATCGGTAGATGCAAGCCAGGGTTTTGTTTGTTTTGCCAGCTGCGGCATCACGTTGGTGGCTCATGTTCATGTTGTGGTCAATCTTGACCCCCAAGTGCCTTTTGGTCGTGGTGCCAGTGAGTGTAGCACTGCTGAGCCTATAAGTATAATGTGGGTTTTTTCTTCAAGGCAGAGCACCTTGCATTTCTCAGTGTTGAATGCCATCTTTCAAAGTCAAAAATCAGTGATTTTTTTTTTTCCAGAGTAATTTATGATAATGTGTGGAACTAATCAGAAGGAAATGCTGTTGCCATGGGATGTATGTCTTTGAGGTTTAATTGTGAGAGGTTTTTTCCACATGACAAATCACCCTGACACATGGACATACACACAGATCTCTGAATACCTTTCCAGAAATATTTTAAGGAAAAAAAATCAAATGGATAGGATTTGAGGGGGGGGGGGGAAACAACAACAACAAAAAAACCCCCGAACCTCGGCATGAATTAGCTCTTATTACAGCTAAATTAAATTCCTGTAACTTTTCAGTAGTATCATAATTAGACCACATTTGAAAATCTTACTTTTCGCCTTGCATACCTCTGGAATCCCCAAAGCTAACAGACTAAAGTGCACATTATCAGATTTTTCTCCAATAACCAAACTACAGAGAAAACAAAATTTTAAGCCTGATCCTTGTTCCTGTTTCTTCATTTGATTTTACTTTTTATTGGCTTAAGTCCTGTCATTTGCAAGGATTCTTTTAGGCTGACTGCTGGTTCCCTAAGGCAGTTTCAGCAGGATGCTTCAGAACATTTGTGTGCAGATCTGGATCTCAGTGCCCCTCTTGAGATCAGCTCCTCTGCAAGTCTTGGATAAGAAGCTTTAACTGTAAAATCATTTAGTCAAAGAATCAATTTCAGTGCTGCTCTATCTCTCTTCATTTTGGGCTCGTTCCCATTTAATACTTTGTGAAAATTAGGGTGATCTTGACCCTTTTAGTGATCACAGCCCCCAGGCTAAAACCCTCTGGCCTGATCTACTTGATTTACAAAAGCTAGCACATTATTAGCTGCACCTATATTAAAGGCTATTTTTTTCTTCTCTTCTAACTCTTCTCATCCTTTGTTTCAGTGTTACTTCTTCACTGTAGAGTTTGGTTTGTGCAAGCAAGATGGACGGCTAAGAGTCTATGGAGCTGGTTTGCTCTCTTCTATCAGTGAACTCAAGGTAAGAATGGGAAGATAAACCCCCCTTTACTCTTTCTTTCTTTGTTTTCACCTGATTTTTTTTTTTTTTTTCTGTGAAGCTTACCTTTTGGAAAGTGTTTATTTTGGCAACTCCTAGAGACCTCTGATTTTTAAGGGAAGTTCATGTGTAGGTAATCACTGGAATTTTTGCGTTTTGATGTTTGAGCCTGAACCTCTACAGTTCCCAATGACTTCAGATGGAGTTGTAAGTGCCCTGTAATCCTTAAAATTGGGCCTTGAGTTGCTGTGTTGTCAATATACAGCAACCCAAGGCTTTTTGAACCATGCCCTGCTAACATTCATCTCCATGTAGTAGCATCCTACTATGTAAGCTATCCCCTGGGCCTGAAATTCAAATACACTGACTTGCTCACATAAGCAAAATACTACACAGTAGGCACGTGTACACAAGACTTTTACTGTGGAGTCGCCTAATTCCACAGTAAATGTCTCAGCATCTACACATGTGGCCCTATTAGGCTGCAGGAAACTAATAAACTCTGAAGCAGGGTAGTACTTATATTTACAAGTACTACCCGGCTGCAGAGTTTTTTGTGAGCAGCAGCACACATGTAGATGCAGATGGGTTGGCTGGGGCATGAGGGTACTTCAGCGCAGGGGCTGCCTGCTGACTAGCTCTGTACTGAAGTATCATCATGTCTGAGCCAGCCCCTCAACAGCATGTTGAACCAGGCAAGAGCCATGCTGGGCTGGCAGGCTGGCTTCTGGGTCCTCCTGCCAGCTGGGGCTGCTCTGACCTGGCTCAGTATGCTGCGGTCCTGGTGCATCCTCAAATGACGCACCTGAGAGCAACAGTCTGGTGCAATAAGCCCTGGAGTTTATTGCTCTGCATTAATTGAATGTGTAGACATGCCCAGTGAGAACAGAAATGGCAGAACATGGCTCTTTAAGGTTATCCAGTTTCCTAAGGGTTAACTAGTGCTAATCAGCTGACATAACTCTTAAACAATGTAATATAGAGATTTAATACATACATGGCATCACTTGATCCTCCCCAACTCATTGTTTCTATGGCTTGATCTTCCCTGAGGATTGTTTTGGTGTCAATACTAATGTGTAGCATAATGGGAGATAATGTTAATGTTTTTGTTTTATTAATGTAACTGTCTGTTTCCCAGCATGCACTCTCTGGCAATGCTAAAGTCAAGCCCTTTGATCCAAAGGCCACCAGCAAGCAAGAATGCCTCATTACCACTTTCCAGGAAGTCTACTTTGTTTCTGAAAGTTTTGAAGAAGCAAAAGAAAAGATGAGGTATAGTTTGTTTTATCTGTCATTTACTGAAGGTCAGGCTTAATTTGCTGCATCTGCCAGAAAAAAAAATCCTTCAAATTTTTTTTTATAATAAAACTTTATTACTTTCCACTTGGCAGAATGCTGCTGTTTGGTATTTGCTTTGTTTTATTATTGTTATTATTATTATTATTATTATTATTATTATTATTATTATGGTGATGCCACCTGAGCAAACCCTATAGCAAACATTAATCTATAGATGCCCACAAAGAGTAGAAAAGGTAATGTGTACCAGACACTAATCCATCTGATGGGTAAGGAATTGGCAATAAAAATATCTAGATTTGCTTTCAAGTGCCACAAGTCCTATTTGGTGGCTTATGTGGGACTTAAAGTGGTGCATTAACTATTCTTTTGGGTCTCTGTCCGGGGGTGAATTTCTCACCATGGGGCATAAAGAAAGAAATGATTTTTAAGTGGTCTGAGGTCCAAGCCATATAGGGGTTAAGAGGTTGGAAACAACAGCTAGATCTGATCCTAGGAATAGAGGAAGGGCATAATACAGTGCACAGCTGTACATGCTCGCAATGACCTCTTCCAATAAACTTCTGTTTAAGTTTGGCTTCCCTTGCCACGGACAATTTAGGTCAGCTTATTAGCCCATGAAATAAAAGGGGGTGGATACCTTTTCCAGAGCTATACAAAAGATCTATAACAGTTTAAACTTTGGGGCCATGATGAAAGTAATGTTGGCTGTAGCCATCAGGCCAGATTCTGCTGTCAGTTACATGAACATAAATCTGGAATAACTCTGTCAACTCAATACAAGGCTACAGAGCAGATGGGGGGCCAAGGTCCTGGTACCCAAGAAGGGGCACAGCAAGACAAGCTGGAGGCCTGAAGTAGATGGGGGCCAAGGGCCTGGTGCCAGAGGACAATTGTTGATAGGACAATTCTCATATTTATTTTAGTTTTCCATGGCTGTAATGCTATTAACATCAGTGGATTTACTCTGAACTAGCCTATAACCTTTTTTTGTGATGGGTAGCAGCTGCATGAAGTTACAGAAGATCTGTTTTTAGCAAGAACTGAACCCAGCTGCTCAACTTTACCGAAGCACATGCAAGACAGTTGCCCATTGGACTGGGACTTGGGGAAATATGGGTTCTATTTCTGATTCTGCTGTTAATATGTTGGGTGGGTTTGTGCAGTCATTCCCATGCTTTGGATTTTCCCCACTGAAAAATTGAGAGAATGACACTGAAAAAGGCTATGAAAGAGCAGGTCAGAATTAGTAAGAAGGAAAACTGATTTAAGTTGTAGGTCACTAATGTTGGCTTTTTTGCAGAACCCCTGCTCCACTCCCTTATACACCAAGAAGTGATGATTGGCTTACTGTTTTTGGCTGAATTTAGTTGAAAAGTTTTTTTTCTTTTTTTTTAATTGAACAGGGAATTCGCAAAAACCATCAAGCGCCCATTTGGGGTGAAGTATAACCCATATATACAAAGCATACAGATCCTGAAGGACACCAAGAGCATCGCTAGTGTGGTGAATGAGCTACGCCATGACTTGGATCTTGTTAGTGATGCCCTTAATAAGATGGGCAAACAGCTGGAAGTTTAAGTCAATGTATTGCTGTCAACCTGTCACGTTCAGTAATTCTGTCTGGGGTTTTTTGGTCTTATTATAGGCACAAAACTATTGTAAGCACAGTACATATAACCCTCTTCTCTTACAATTTGAAAAATCAATGACTGATAGGAACAATTCCTTGAACTTAATACTTTGTGATCCTCCATATAAATATCATCGGGAAAGAAACAAGATGGATTCATCCTTGGAAAGCTTGGAGTAGGAACATTAGAAATAATCAGGATAGATAGATCACTGGGCCAAGTACTCCAGTATCTTTGAGGCAGCTGGTGCTGTCACAGATGTGGAAAATAAAACAGGAAATTATGGGATAATTCCCCAGGAAACTTTTTCCTCTTACCCCCTTCCACCCCATCTCAGTACTCAAAGGTTTGCTTATAACCTGAGTCATCATGACAATCCAGACCCAAAATTGCTAAAAGAATAGTGTAACGAAGGGTAGACAAAAGGGGCATCTGCCTTCCGTTCCGAGTTGAGAAGGCCACCGGAACTGCCTCCTATCCCCATGGAGTCTGTGCCCCAGTGGCCAGAGCCAACCCATGGCTTATTAAGCCTCTGTGCTAAAAGCTCATCAGGAAGAAGTTGCAGTGTTTCAGACTTCCCTTTCATTGGCTGTGGTTGCACCAAAACAATATTGCTGGTTTGGTAAACTTATGTGATTGGTAAGCATAGTGATTTGGTACCCATTTTATTACACCCTCAGACTTGTAGTGGACAACTGTGCAGTGTGAAATCCTGGACCTATGGTCACCCTAGGCACAACTTCTGAAGGCAGGCAGTAGTGGAAATGCCACCTGCCTCTTCTGGAATAAGTCCCACCAAATTGTAGCTAGCTTTGTAGTTGCGGGAAGATATAGTTACACCTACCTACCTACCTACCCGTTACAACTGGAAATGACTTTTTCAATATCCAGCACACCTTCTTCCACGTGAAGCCAAGTTATTAAATAACAGCCACATTACAGGCAATTATCTAGTACCACTGTGCATAGAGAATAAGTGTCTCCAACTGCTCAGCCATGTAACTGATCTTTTCAAGAAGCATAAAGTTCTGTCCCTGTTCTCTTTATGTCCCATTAAACCTCTGGGAATGGGAGGGTTATAAGCATTTGGTAGAATGAGGTCCTAAGCCTTTGCAGCTGAAGGGTATGTATTCTAATATGCTTTAGCATAAAAGAACTGTTAACCCCTAGAGAGTATTCTGCTGATGCGGAAGGCAGTATCGGGTTGAAATGGCAACACGAAGAAACAGTGAGGTCGTTGAACTTGTGTGCAGTCAAAGCAGCCTGTACATTTGCACTGGGTCACCCAGGCACAGTACCTAAAGTGAAAATCTATTGATGAAATAAGTAAATTAAGAGGACATTACACACATTAGTAGGAAATCCCTGAAATGCACAGCCTCTTTATTAGCATGCTTGGAAATGAGTCATTGCTACAAATGCCTGGGGAATCCAGACAACAGTTGTAGTTGCAAAAGTCTGTAAATTCACTGGAATAGTGGAGTGAAATTGACTTCAATGAAATTGCCTTTGATTCCCAGAAACAGGTTTAAGTGGGACATAAATGCTGTGTGGGCCTTGTGCTATAGACCATATCTGCTCATAAGTACGGAACAGCCTAAAAATTCCCAAGAGACCCAATTTTAAATATTTTTACCTTTTTAATAATATCCATGTGACTTGGTTTTTATACCATTTTAGTTAGTACATTTACTTTTATAATTTTTTTTTCTTTTTAATGTAGGACCATAGTTTTGCTACAATTAGTCTGACTTAAATTACACTTTTAAATAGTCTTCAGGAGTTTCACATCTTTGAAGAAAAATCAACTTGGTTTAAACAGGTGATGTGTGTGGGTATATGTTATCTGCTTATGCAATAATGTTTTGTGCTTACCTTTTTGGTAAAAGCAGTTTGGATTATTGTATGTTTTAAACACAGAAGATAAAATGTTTCTTCAAATTGTCTATCTGTATTATATATGGATTTTCAAGTAGAAAACAGCATACTGAATTCCTACTAGCATCTAGGTCTGTAGTCCTCAACATTTTTAGACTCGGGCCATCCTTCAGAAAATGCTTGTTTCTTGACTCTGGTAAAAGACTACGGCAATTCTTTTGTTGCAAAGACCTCCACATAGACCATAGTAGGTCAGAATGTTTTTGACACTATTGATTCCTGCTTGAAGTCTTTGGGTTGACCTTGTGAATTATATGGAGGTATTTACATACCCCACAATATTGCACATCACCCTTAAAAACATCTCATGGCACCCTGGTTGAGAATTGCTGACCTAGGTTTAAAAAATTCTGAAAGAATGTCATTGTTCCTACATTTTATGATTGTTTTGTTGCAAATACAGGAAACAAAATGTTATTGGTAATACATTTAATATATAATATGTTTTCTGGTTCTAATGGCATTATCTGGTTTCACTATGTCTAAACCTGCTATGTAGAACAGTAATAACATAATTAAATATTTTTAAATACAATGGATGGATGCTTTGAATATTGGAAAAACAAAAATCATTGGCTTGTTAGCATGACATGTAATAAAAATAAAAACAGCCTAATGCAACTGCCAAGCAATAAACAAGAAATGGCCACTTGTGCTCTATGGGTTACATTGTTCATGGAACAATTCAGCTTTTCCATATTCGGTTTTGCACTCAAATGCAGAGGCATTCCCTTTCCTTTGATTGACTTGAAGGAAATTGCATTATGTTTTTGAAGACAGAATTGCTTTCTCGTGTCACCCTGATTTAACCAGTGAGAGGTGAGGATTGTAGAATGGGGTTGGTAGACCCTTCAGATGGACTCTGCACCTGTTAATGTCAGTTGGGCCTGCACTAGCAGGCAGATGCATCTGTACAGAGCTTGCTGCAGGTTTGAGATATCTGGATGTTAGCCTTTTGAGGCAGGGACTAGGCTTTCCTGTCTGTGATGAAGAAATACAGCATTTGTCACCAGCTTTAATGAGAATGAGATCTGGCCCCTTATACACCTAATCTGCCACAGCTGTAGTGCCTGCATAATTATTTACACACAAGCAAAATACGTGCAAAAACACCTATGAAATCAGCATGAAGCATTTTTACATTCACTTTCACAGGTACGTGTTGTTAGCCTGGGTGCTCTGCTGAACTCCAGAGGCTCACCATTTGTCTTCTAACTGATTAGATAAGTCTTCATATGCTACTTTGCACATTCTTCATCTTGGCTTTTGTTTTTTTGCCTTAGCCTATGAATCCAAGAGCTGTCTCAGTATACTGCTGCCACATGCTTGTTTCGTTAGTATACCTAACTTTTATTAATGTTTTTAAAGCAGAAGCTGAGCTTGTGCATGTCTTCCAAAGAAACACAAACATCTTACCTGTTATCATCATCATTAACATGACAGGCTTAATTCTGGGCCCTTCTATGCCCCCAGAAAAAGAGGTGACCAGCTGCAGATATCCTTCCTTGAATGCATCTTTCTCTGAAGCCAGCAGGCCAGTGCTTCCCACAATATATCATGAAAACGTTTAGATGTCAGGGGAGATGGTCTGTAGATTGTAATACTTTCTCTTGGTACAGTCAGGCCAGGACCTCTGCTTCCCTTTCTGGCAGGCATCTTCTTCCCAGTGGACTGCACAATACATTGACTGCCAAGATCTGCTTCAAAAATACCTGCCAAATTTAGTCAACGTGTGTCTCTTTGCGGGTAGAAATAGCAGCGAGCACAATATGGGAATAAAAAGTTGCATTAGATAAGATCGTTGTAAGCAAATCATCTTGGCTACAACAAAAGGCTTAGCCAGGCTCTGGCTTGCTTTTATTTGGACTAACCCAATCAACTATTCAAAACACATCAACAATTTGCATATGACCCCTCCCCACCAGTTTATAACCTCTCGTGGCTCCATACTGCCATTAGAGGGGCTAGAGAAGGGCTCCAGGGTGCTGGGCGCTTCAAGCTCCCTAAAGACTTGCCCTGTCTGCAGCGGGGACCAGCAAACCTAGGGATCTGCAAGGGGAAGTCGACTGCGCTTTTGTTTCTTTCCTCCCCCCACCCCAAAAAATAAAATCAAGAGGACTCCGAGGCTGCAAAAGACGGGGCGGGGGGAAGATGCCAGGTGTGGAGGCTGCCGTGTGATAGCCACATGCAGAGCCCCATCCTGCGGCGGCACTCGGCGGGGGCGGGGGCGG